CTTTAAATTATAGAGTATTTTTGGTGATAAGACTGAGAAAGAGGGAGGTTTTAAGCATAGGTGCATAAGGCGCATTATTAGGGTACCCTGTACAGTTTGTAGGTGTCACTATATTTTGTTATACCTTATAGTTATACTACCCAAATCTGAAGTCACATAAAATCTCAATTTGTTGTTGGTTGTGCGTGAAAATATTTCACGCCCACAACAGCATCAGCTGCCACAGGTGAAATGATTTCAAACGAAGAAAGAAACCATGTGTTTCTGCCGCAGCACGTTGGGCAGCGACGCGTTTCTGCCGTAGAACGCTGGGCAGAAACGCGTTTCAGCCGTAGTACGCTAGGCAGCGCTGTCCAGCACTGCTGGCAAAGTGTCAAGCAGCGTCGGCGAACGACGCCGCGAAATAGCGTTAGCAGGGAAGCTAGAGTAACGGCCGAGCCCAGCCGAGTTTTAGCAATCGCCTATAAAATTTATTTTTATTTTTCTGCGCATAGAAGGCCAGAAGATCCAAAAAAGGCTTTTACTAGAATGTTAAAACTTATCAGTCTGGTGGACCTAGACTTGTAGAAGCTTTAAAGTTGTCAGTACCTAGCAAGCTGTAGACTAAAACATGCAAAAACTAAGAGGTGAGAATACTACTGATCTTACTTTAACTGGTTTAGAATTTAAATAATAGCCGTACACAGTTCTGTAACCAGAAGATGAGTTATCGCTATGCCGTCGACTTAACAGTTTTAGTACTAGTTCCCATAAATTATTGGTTTTAATTTATAGTTTGCAGTAAAGTAAAAAAAGTTGCTGGGTGTGATTTCAAGATAGTTTGAATATTTTACGGTTATGAAAAAGGATGTAACAAAAAGTAGTAAAAGATTTTCCCCTTTCATGATTAAGAGACCTTAAAACCATGGTGATGTTAAAAAATCTACGCAGTATTTTAGAAAGCCGAGAGTCAAAAAACTCCGCAGCTGGAGACAAGCGTACTCACTGATCAACAAAACAGCGCGCTTTTGCTGATAACAGAGAAACATTATGTAATTGCTACTGGAAATCTAGAAAGGCCATCCTGGAAATAATATATGCACCGAGAATACCAGGACCGCCAGGCAAAACTTCCCCAACTTAACGGTGCCAACGGGATTTATGTGCCAGCTGTCATTTAACGGCAAAACATCGCAAATTCCCCACAAAACATACCAGAAATACTAAGACCGCTGGAATTATCTGCTTGTTAGTGATGTTACTAGGATGCTCCTACACGCCCAGCGCAGCTATGCTAAACCTTTTGGTACCGGCTGCATCGCCCAACAAAATATATTTAGAAAAAAAAAACGGACACTCACGCCCGCGTAGTTCTTACTTACGGACACGTAAAAGTTTTTTTGACGGGAAAGAGTTTTCGGGAATGGCGCAGTCTAGGAGGCTGAAACTTTAAAGATATGTTCGTTGGCTGCGTATAGTCCAAAGGTTTCGAATTCAGCCTTCATGCACCCTTAGGTATCACGTACGTACACGTTAGTTTAAACCGGCATCGTGCCAACTCCAGATTCAAACTGACCAAGAAGTTGTGGGGGGCTGCAATTTTGCAGCGCTACCTGTCGCCCACTGTTATATCCGCGAAAGTAAATTGAGCTCTCCAGCCCTCATGCACGAACACGTGGAAATCCCACACAGGCACTTTTGTTACATCGGAATTGAAGCAGCTCGAGAGCTGGAACTATCTGAGCATAATCGACGGTAACCTTTGATTAGATGGACGTAAAAACGACCTTCACGTCCCTTTCGTTTCTCACGTGCACAGGACCCTGTTTGAGTAAGCGCACATGAAGGCAGCACTCATGTTGCTGCTCACGTACGAACACATGAAATTTGACATAACTCCGCAACCAGAACAGCTGGAGTGCTGAAATTTCCTAAGCGCTGCCTAAGGCCGGGTTTGACAAACTCAAACCCAGGCGAACTCAGCCGAAAAACTCAGGCGCAAAAAGCATTGGCGTAGCCACCCACGCACAAACACGAAAAATTTTGACGCAACTTCGCAATCAGAGCAGCTGAGATGCTGAAATTTTGTGAGCGTGGCGCATGACCGTATTTGAGCAAGCCCATGCGTTAGTAGCATTAATGTTGCTGCAGAGCGAAAAAAAGATGGCGCGCAGGAGAAGCAAATAGCAATCCAGAATCACAGAGCAGATTGACCTGTGATCTGTCCCGCCCTTTGTGATGAGCATTTAAGCCTGTAAATTTGTTGTAAAGTTCAATGTTCCGTGTACCGCACCGTCCCAAGCACTCAACTGTGAACTTGTATTGATGTTGATAAAGTCTTGTTTACTCTAGTCTCTCCACTAAGCGCATACAGCACATTGGCGTTCATCCAAGCCTCGTCCGAAGCCCGTCATATCCCCGTCCGAATAATCTGCGGAACATTCGTCGTAACGTCGTCTCATCGTCGTAAAATAGAGTTCAGCCGACGGGATTACGACTGTAAAGCGATCCAGTTGAAGAAGCGAAAGAAGCAACAAAAGTGCGGCAAGCCCGGGGGACTGGGCAGAAAAGCTAGAAGGGCAGAGCACCAGCAGTTGCGCTGCCACCCGCGCATGAGGCAATGGAGATGAGTCGCGAAGGCTCGCGAGAGAGCGAGCGCGACGGCGACCGGTGTGGAGCTGGTGCATCATTCGGTGTGGATGACGGGAGTTTCGATTTCAGAGAGGTAGGTGGGTTGACGGAGGAATTTTGGGGCAAAATGGAATAGGCGATAGATTGGCTCCGTGTGGGGAGCATAAACGAAGTTAACGAGGCCCTGGAGGATGTCCAGGCACGAGCGATGGAAGGAGTGGTGGCCACCCGGACTGCCATCACGAAAGTAGAAGGATGCTTTCAGCCCTGGGAGGCTGTAGAAGCTGCCTGGCAAGAGCCGCTAAGGTCCAGCTGGATTGCAACAGGCCAGAACAGAAGTAGCACTGGGGAAAACCAGTGACAAGCTGACTACTGTAGTCCAGCAGTTCGGCGTAGCATCCGCGTCACAGCTGTGGAAGCTGTACGACGAACAAAAATGGGAGGCGGCGGGATATAAGTCGCTCAAAACGGTGACGCGCTTGCTTTGTGAGAGCAGCGCAACCGCGGCTGAGGCGCAGGCTCGCGTTGGCGCGCTGCAGAAGGCCCTACGAAGGAACCAGCAAGATAAGAAGCTGAAAGAGATAAATAACCGGCTTCAATTGCAGGTTGGGAAGTCGCTGGGAGAAGACCCTGAAGGAGACAGCGAAACAGGCGCCGAACAGCCAAAGAGAGGTGAAGAAATTTGTAGAATTAATCGGGGAAGGCTGCATTTGGCTGAAAGTGATGAGTTGCATGATGAAACACGGAGAAACCGACAGCAGCCAAGGAAAAGAAGCAGCCCGAGCAACCTGCGTCCGGTCGTATTGGAACGACAAGCTCAACAGCCACGTCAATCACGTGAGTCTTTACTTTCGAACGAAATGCTTTTAGGCGCAAGTACTAATGGCACAGCTCAACAAAGCAACGCCGAGGGTGTAAGCGCTGCGTTTGGGCGACTTCTGCTGCCGTACACGCAGCGGATGCAGACGCAGTTCCCGGCCTTAGAAAGTTCTTTGGGAAGGGGAACAGGACTGAAGCAAGATTTCAAGATTTTATTGAGGAATTTAGTCTCCGTTATGGGTGTGGACGAAAGTATGGTACTTGCGGTTCTACTTGACGGAATTAGCACTGGATGCATTCCCCGTACGTATCCGAGAGGAGAGGACTTTCAAAGAAGTAGTATCTGCATTAAAAAAGGCGCTGATAGACACGTCTCGAGTCACCAGGTTGATGTTGCAAAATGAGCTGAGTAAAATACAGTGGCAAAATGGAGAGCCTCTGGCGGGATTTTTTTTTGCCCTGGTGAATAAGAAAGTAGCGGTTGCGTATCCAAGTACGTGGACCTGGGTAAAGAATAAATATGCGTTTTCGTATTACGAAATGCAAAAAGCAAAAACAGTTAAAGGGATGTCCATCCCACCAAGCGATGGCGAATAAACAACCCATCCGTACATTCGTAAGTGAAAATGTCTCAAGTATTGACGCCTCTCGGATCCTTTCTCCGTCTTTGTCGAATACGACAATTCGTAAAATTTTAGCGGAACCCATGGATTTTTTAGCAGTTGATGTTTGGCGTAATCGTCAATATCCACATTTATAAATCGCATACATAGTAACCTGATCTTTTCATCTTCTTCCCTTAGTAAAAGTGGCTCCATAGCAACAGTACTGTTCAAAAACGCACCTTTGACTGATCATCCCGCACTACAATACTACTTCGGTACAAAAATGCACTTTCCAGTGTCCTTGCTGAAAAAACCAAGTTGAAGTGTACGTTTGAACTAAGCATAAGTTGTTCGTAGTAAACCACAGCATTGGGAGTGAAAGAAGCCGTTATAACCTGAAATTTCACCACACAATATGCTAGTAAAAGTGTATCCTTAGCAACTGTGATGTAAGTAACCGTTGGTGTACTGAAACTGCAATTTCCTAAAACATTTGTATGTTCATTTGTATGCTCCAGTGGGAAGTGGATCACCATGCTTGGTGTTACAATAATTTGCTTCGGATTTAACACATTCTATTTTGAAATTACTGAACTGTCAGAATTTAATCTGAAGTTACAGCTAAAAAATGCAGTAAATTTTGAAAGCGAACGGAAACCTATAGAAAATTAAAGCTTTTCAATTTTTATTCCACATCTTTCTATTTTCTTGCACGATTTTTTGCCAGCAGTAAAAATACATTACAGATCATATTTTAACTTCAGGCAGTTCTTCAGATTGTCTATCGAATCAATTTCTTATTTCAGTCTGCAGCGTCTAATGTCCATCATTTAATAAACTGGCATGTCGCAAAGACCCCAAGTCAAGATGCATTGAGATTTAGGTCCTAATTTAATTACACTCATTTACAGTTATACATAAGAACCTCAAATTCGTAGTTTTCATGGTTCTTAAGTTATAAAACTATCCTCAAGCAGAGTAGAAAGACAGATGCAAGTTGCTTCCAAATTCTTACTTTGCACACAACCGAACTCCGTTCCCAAAAGTGTAGCTTTCCAACTATTGTAAACTAAGAGCTGAATCAAGTGGCGCGGCAGGCACACACGATCTCGCCATAATGCGTTATTACAAAATGCACACAAAAATTCGGTTTATAAAAGTTACAATTCAATACATCAACGGAGAACAAACGATAGCTAAAATACAATACCTGAAGAAAACGGGTTATTTTTTTGGCGTAATTTTAGACAAAAAGCGTGAAATCTGCCCGTTTTTTGCCCCGCTTCCACAACCCCACTCTCCTCGCCACTGTGTTACTTACTGGAACCGGCGCAGTTAATGCGCGGTAAATAAAAGTGCAGAAAAAATTACATAACCATTCTTAAGCATTATAAAACCTTTGCGCGCAACGGTGTCTCGAACAGAAGGAAGAGGAATCACCAGCTGATCGGTAATTAGTGATGCAACATGATGATGTAGTCTGGATCCAAAGCATGCCTTAAGTTTATCATCCGAAAAAGTCCAAGCAAACGAATCAGCCAAACGTAAGTATAATTGCAGGCTGTAGCTGAAATAATTTCAGTTCTTGAACGAAACTCAAAATATAATCAGACATGACTTCACGATACTGATCTATTCAACCTTACTGAAGTCCAAAACTTATTGCATTATATAGGGGAATCCAAAACATGCTTAAATTACCTGTACTGCACATTTAACAGAAGAGTTCTTGATTCTGTCTCATCGAGAACAAGTGAATCGTTGACGAGAAATTGATAATTCTGCTTCATTTTCAGGAAAATTTTATCTTCTTCGACAATAACTTCAGGCATTTCAATACAACTCACTGTTACTACACATCCAGCATCATCGGAAAAACCCCTAAAACATACTGACATTTACAAATCCCATTTGGATACGTAAATTTTGCGTTTGAAAATCAACTCACCTACACCCATTCATGTAATTCGCTGAATACGCGCACTTTAACTTCTCTGACAACACTAAACCTCCACTGTGAAACGGTTTGAAGAAAAAGCAAGTTTATAGAAAAAATTCGCTTGGTCAATAGCACTCGACAAACATACTCTTTGCGAGTAAGAAGATCATACTTTGGCCGCTCGAAGCAAGCAAAGCTTTGTCGGCCATATTTGCATTTTACCTGTATATAAGTATACATATATATACAGATAAATATACGTGCATATGCACAACGTTTATGCATATAAACACATGTTGTATATATTATATGTATATATATGGGCGAAATGCGATTATTTATATATATATAGCTTTTAGTTGTCTATATATATACTCACATTTACACTATTAATATAGTATTTTGTTCGTCCGAGTTCGTGCACCTAACAGAACGTACCAGATCCAGCTAGAACTCGTCCTTTTTTCTCTTCAAATTAAGGTTCTGCATATATGTATATATATGCGTATATATATACATATATTTATTTATATATAGTAACTGAGAGCTTCAGTTTCTTCAAAGCTCAAGCTAATAGTGATTTTTACCGCACAAACTTCGCCAGTTACATAAGACACAGGTTCTCAGCCTGCCCGACACTTCCGGGTTCACAGTCCGCCGGGGCCTGACACTTTCTAGTCCATAAACATGTCCAAATGACGAAGAGGTGCTGTATGAATCAGTGTGTTTTAATGTGTTAATAAAGTTGAATTTGTGTGTGCGTTAGTAAAGTTGTTAAAGGAAATTGATAATACCAGTCAAAAGCCGAACGGTTCTGTGCAGCTTTCACAATTTCCGAAATCAATTTGGAATTCAACGCATACGCTACATCTCTTTGCGGCAGTGAGCGAAGAATATGCAAGGCATCATCAGGTCTCATATAACCATCGTGAGACAATTCACTGCTGCTGCTCTCCCCATCAAGCACTCCAGCATGATAAGTTATCAAATCCCCATCATCTGTTACCTGTGGCTGCCCAACCAGTGCATTGTTCATTACCAAACCTTAAAATGAAATTAACGAGTTCATCTGAAGCTGTCTATCTTCCAAAAGAGCTTCAATTAGCAAAAAACAAAATGAAGCAAATCAAACAGATTTTGTCCTTGTTTACAGCTAAGGGATGAAACACAGACAAAATAGCAAAATTGATATTTCAAGAAACAATATCTTTACTGAATGACTGTCCTGCCGGGCTGATTCAAGCAACCACGACAATCAAAACCAATACGTCCAAATCGGTCAACAAGACTCCTCTGCGCTGGCATTATAAAGGAAAGCGTGCAAACCAAACAAATTTTTTCTGCTTACAGCTAAGGGATGAAACAAAGAAACCTCTCCACAGGACCTTTCAACACGTCATACGGTTTTGTGCCACATTAACAGCCCTATTATCTTTTCCATCATAATTTATTAAACTAACCCCACTTTAGGTTAAAATTTTTAGACTGTGGCCCTCCAACATTTTTCATGCTTTTAGCCGCTCGCTTGTTTCAAAGACAACGGTCCGACCTAATATTTACCGCAAATTATTTTAACAATCTTATCCTACCCTTCGTTTTAACTTTCTGATTCCGGCCGTTCCACATATTGATTTCTTTAGACCGTCCACTTCTTTTAAGTTTACGATTCGACCTTATCATTTAGATATTTCTGCATCCCAAAGCAATGATGGATGAAGTTCGCATTACGATTCAACTGCTGTCGAACGAGGCATCATTCAAACAAGCGAAAGCAATTAACAAAACTGAATTTGCCTGTTCGGAGAAGATGGCGCACCGAGATTCGTTCAATGGCATTCTTCAAGAAAGAATCCAGCACACTGACTGCTGTACGACAGATTGCACGCTCCATTTGCAGGCGCACAGCACGATCCAAAAATGTATGCACAGGCCGGAACAACAGTGTTGGTTTCGTGACCGAATGAGTAAAATGTTCAAATTTGAGCGAACTAAAAACAACCTTTACGACAAAAACTAATGAATTTAAGTTCATGCTTAAAACAGGTTGTGCTGCGGTAATCAAAGCAAAAAAAAAAAAAAAAATAATTGGCCAACGCACGGGCTGCCCGTGCGAGGATGCGTTTTTTGCACAGCTCCCCGCAGATTTTTGTCGCTAACTGCACTGGTTTTTCCGGCAGATGCTTCTAGCTAAAAGAATTTCAGACTGGCTGCCAGGACTGTCAGGAAACATTCCTTCAAAATTCCAGTTTTCTAGCTCCTCAGGCTTCTGAGTTAGAAACTTACCCGAAAAAACTTTCACGGGCCTGTACGTGCGTACCACGTTTACCCGGGGGTTGGGTTTCAGCACATTAGTACCTACTTGGGCGGGGAACATTCCCTTAAAATTTCAGTTTTCTAGCATCTCAGATCCCCGAGTTATAAATTTACACGAGAAAAATTTTGGCGGGCTCGTACGCGGTACCACGCTTACCCGGGGGTTGGATTTGAGCTCATTGGTACCTACTTGGACGGGGAACATTTCCATAAAATTCCAGTTCCCTAGCTTTTCTGGTTTGCGACTTAGCAGCTCACTCGTAATAAACTCTTACGTGGGTACCACGCGAGAAAGACCGCCCATTTTGGGGACGGGGGCCCGTACGTGCATGTAGATTAAGTCCCCAAAGTTTCAGCTCTGTAGCTTTTGTGGGTCTCGA